CCCCCTTGGTCGGCCCCCCCTGCCACTCTTCCCCGCGCTCTCTAAAAGCCTTGGATGGTCAGGATGAATTATAGATTAGCTGCGATACAAACCGCCTCATGTCAGTTTTCTCATTCAGCTGTGCAAAATCCTGCTGTTTTCCATCCCCTTCCAGAATGATCATTGTAAAAGAAGTGGAATAAATCTTCTGTGGCAGCAGCTTTTAGGGGGGAAGCCAGTAGAGTTGAATGTTTAGCAGTACAACACCCCTGGGCTATGAAGGGGGGCACTTAGCCCCTTAAAGTCTTACTAAGTGCTAAGGGTCAGGAAAGACTCCAGTGAGAGCCTTGCCAGGATGGACACACGGAGTAGAGGTGCTGAGGAAGGTCCTTGCTACCCAAATGGCTGAGGAGCCTGGGGAAGGCAGAAGAGACAAGTCAGCAGCCGGCACGTGCTGCACAGCGCCAGGGTCACCAGGAGCCTTCCTGAAGCACAGGAGATGAAGGGGCCCCTTTATCCCCTCGATTAGGCATAGATCCTGTCCACAAAAGGAAGATAAAAATGAAACAACAGGTCCATAGCCCTCAGGAGAGCCGCAATGTCTTTTAGGAGCCGTTTGCATCGTCAGATTGAGGGAAATGAGGGTTTTGCTGAGGAAAGTGGACAGAATTTGTAATGGTTTGGGGCACAGATGAGGATACCCTGGAGGGAGATGAAGTAGATTTAAGGCTTTAACGGCTGTAAACTCTAAGGCTAAACTTCAGCAAAAAGCGCAATTTGGACACTATGCTGTGAAGAGGCTGCAGCAACAGTGAAACGATGTCGGCAACCAGACTTGGAGAGACAAAATCCATCCCCTCAAAGCACCGCAGGGGAGAAGGGCTCGTTCTTCTCCTGCCCTGTTGTCTTCATAACTGCCCCTTCTCTATGCCATAGCCCCTCGCAGGGGCCAACAGGAGCCTCCCTCCAGCTCTTCTCAAGCTTTACTTATGCACCCTAAGCAGTTACAGAGGTTATTCTGCACTCTCTGCAAGTAGCAGAGGCCAATGGCTCCCCCCAGGACAACACAACTGATCCTCTTTCCACCTGGACCAGTTTGCTCCTTAACTTGCACTGGCAGTACAACATATACCACTGCTAGATCAATCTTCATTTCCTATTTCATTGCTTTCTCCTAACATAATTTTCATCTTCAGAAATAGCCAGAGACATTTTCTTTGGTCTCCTTATTACCTTAATGACTTCAGCTGTAAAAGAAAGCAGGTGGCCCTGCCCTAGAGCCTGTCCTGCTTGCTCTGCTTTGTGGAGCAGAAAGGGTGATGCTGTGCGAGGTGACTGGGAAGCTGCACTTAAGGCATTAAAAGCTTGCAAGGCATGAAAAGTAGCTCAGTGCTCACTAAGAGCTCTGCCTTTGAGCAAAACAACTGGTCATCACCACACACACAAAAAATGCTGCTCAAAAATGCTGAAGATGGTAGGGAACCTTTGATGTTTAGTGACAATATTCACTAAATCCAGGAGTTGTGAACAGTCTCCCCACCGGGGTAGGGGTGCCTTAAGCAGAGCTGCCATGGCAAAAAAGAAAGCACCAAGAGAAACAGCTTGTGCTGACCAAAGAACAATTTCCAAGCCTACTGCTCAGTGCTTACACGTACAAATGGACGCATATACACACACACATATAAATATAAGCACGCAGACCCAACTTGTCAGCTCACATGGTTCAGATGGGGTGGCCTCTCTGCTTCAATCCCTGCCTCGTAAGTCCAGCAAGACAAGAGCTCTCGTGCACGCGGCAGGAATCAGCTGCTGGCAAGATATCACAGCCACCTATTTTATCTGTGAACCTCACCCCACAAGTGTAGAAAAACTGCCCCTCTCCCACAATGCCACGAAGACAATATCAGCATTGACCAGCTCTGGTTCAGGACATAGAAGTACATAAAAATAAGTTATCAAGGGAACATAATTTGGCGCCGCTCCCCATTAGTTAGTCTGTGCTGCGCAGAACACCAGGCTCCTAGGGGAAGCTTTCATCTAAGGTGGTTTCCCCCCTCCCCTTGCAAGGAAGATAAAAGCTGCCAGTGTTAGCCCAGAACAGTAAGTCATTGAGAAAATAAAATGCAGCAAAGATTCTTTTACCTCTATGAAAAGGAAAACGCAGCATGTGCAAAAGATGCTGTTTCTGTCACTCTCTGAGGAAGCCACACTGGAAACCAGTATTGTAAGTTTATTATTATTATTAAAAAAAAAAATCCTTAGTTACACTATCATGTTATTTCCTTCCTGCCCATAGCACATAACCTCTGCGGTGATGACAAACTGCCAAGGGCAACTTTCGATGTGCATGAGGAAGCTGCAGCTTCGCCAGGCTGCGTGTTCCGAGGGGGCTAGTGCGGGGCCCGGCCTCAGACACCTGGCAGTGAAGCCCAGTCTCACCCCAGGTCGGGGTATGCACAACAGCGGGTGCATTTAACTCTCCGGAGGAAAACTCACCCGCAGTGACTTTAAGGGATAGGTTTTCCCAAAATAGGTAAAACAAATGCTCTATTCAGTTCTACCAGAAAGCTCCTTTTAAGCAATTCCAGGTAAATACCCATTAAGCAATGTAAAAGCAGAGTTAAGCACTGACCAGGAACTCTGGCATTACATGCTGAGCACCATTTATCACTCCAAACCAAGAGACAACTAGTGAGAGCCTCTTCCTTAAAGAGGCATTTCCCATTAGCTAATTAAATTAAACTCTAAATCTCGCAGTTCATACTTGCTTTTAAATTGACCTGTTTTGTCTCAGCAGTTGCTGGGGTGGGGAAAAACATCACATTACAATATACAGTCAGTCTTTCCATGAGCAGACACTGAGCCCAAGTGGCAAAAAGCCTGTGTAAAAACGCAGGTTTGCTCCAGAATTCGGCCAGTCACTGCTTGCCAGCAACGACATCCGAGTAATCTTTTAATACGCCAGCCAAGTGGTCGTTGTGAGTCTTAAATCGGCGTTTCTTCTGGGAAGCAGGTTTCTTCCTCTTCTGAACAGGGGCCTACAGGAAGGAAGGAAGGAGACAGCGCTCACAGCTCTGCCCTGCAGCTGGGACATCTCACCTGGCAAGGGACACTGCGCTGGTCACCACCGCCTCAGAGGACAGGGCAGAGGAGAGCAGGGCAGGCAGGAGAGGAAGGTGCCCAGTATGGGAGAAGCATCCACATGCAACCCAAAGCCAAGCAGGGAACAAGGCAGAGCCTCTTTCCTCTTTCTTCTGGAAACAGGACTAGGGGGTTGCAAAGAGAGAACCTCAGAGAAATATTTGTATTCTGTAACTCTTACTATTTTCTTTGGTCCAGCATCCTGCATAGAAGAAATACCCTGTCGTTTCAGATACTCTTCAATTTTCTCCTCATCCATCGAATCCACGGGAATGCTCCTCCACAGCTTCTGAAATTCTGAAACACCGAAACAAACATTCACTCCATATCTCAGAGAACAAACCTCAGGCAAAGCCCTTGCACGGAGGGGAAGAAACAGCCCGGAGTTCAACCGCTGGCACCTCAGCCTGTCACTGCACGGATGTGACAAACCCTGCCAGCAGCCCCCAGTTTGCACAGCCTTTCCCACTCCAAATGCCAGGTGCACTTCCAAGGGGGAAGACAGACAGACCAACCGACCTAGTTAATGGAAAAAAACGAGCTGACTCTTCTCTGTGTTGCCAGCCATAAGCAACATCTGCGTTAATGTGATTTTGCCATGGAGTCTCTCTTTTTATCTAGCACCTTTATAGCTGCTTAGACTGCGACTGTCCTTCATAAGCCTCAGTTCAAAACACCTTGATGAGGGGTAATAACCAAGCACAAATGGCAACTTCATTTACACATCTGCAGCTGTCAGCGCCACAGGAAGCTTGTCATCTCGTACTCCAATTTAGTGAACACTCGAGCCATTTACTTCAGTGGGTTGGAGCTCGTTTATCACTGTAATATAATATATACCATGCTATACAATTAATAAATCACTGAAATTCCTCTGGTTAAGAGGAGAGATACCTTAAAAACCACTGCATCGGAAAAAAAAAAAAAAAAGAGAGACAGAGACAGTAAGTCTTAATTAGAGCTGCTGCCATCTGCCCGAACACTTTCTGTATCAGGTTAAATTTCCCAGAGCCTCTGGAATGTCTTCTCCAGGCAGCGGCTGGTACAATCCTACCTCCCCTCATTCCCTGGGCTGCAAGTCAGATATATCCTGTCAGCAAGTTTGGCTAACAAACTATAAATAAAACACGAGGCACTCGCAGCAACACAAGACTACGTTTCTTTTCCCTTTATTTCCAGATAAATTTAGTGCACGGTTGTCAAAAGATGCACCAGCTCGAGACACGCTGCTGCAAAACAGTACTGTACAGAGGCAAAATGGAGAGAATTTGTTGCTGCACGTGGACCAGCTCCCTTCCTAAAGCCCTGGGTCTATCCAAGTGCATGCCTGAAGTCCCACACCTTTCTTTTCTTCCTATTCCCAGCACTAAGGGGCTATCCAAGCTTCCCAGGAAACAAAGGAGAGGCATTTGGCCGTTTTGGCATAGCTGGGGGCGCCTGCTCTTGCAGATCCTCTCACCTAGTCCTGGGCTGCGCGGTGGAGATGCACGTTCAGCTTTGATCCCAGCACAAGCAAGAAGCTGATTTCTCAACAGCGAGCACTCGCGCACACGTTTACACAGCAGAGGATGGGGTGAGGGTCCTACTTCACCTCTGGGCTGAGCACAATATGCTCATTCAAGCTGTCTCCTTTCTGTCCATGCTCCCTGCCTAAATGTGCAAGTCCCCTCAGCTGGACACCGAGACCTCATGGTGGTCTGAAAGCAGAATCAGATGATATCTGTGCAAATGTGGTCTCGCACTTTGCAGGAAACCCTCCACTAAATCAGGAATTTTTGTAACTTGCATATAAAATGAGAAGGCTGCACATAAATCACAGAATGATTGAGACTCCTTATTAGAGTTCATGCTGCATGGGCAAACACACTCCGGTGCAGAAAGGGTGAGGGATAGATACCCAAGGTTAACTGCACACATTCTTTTGAAGAACAAAAGTGAAAAATTAAACACTAGAAAATAAATGGTCAGCTCTTCAAGGACCAACATGCACAAAAACCGCAGCCTGCGGTTAATCTCTAACCAGGGCATTTCTCATTTCTGGCAGTGCAGCTGTTCTGCCCCTGCAGCTTCACACTCGCTGTTCAGACTTGGCTAGCTGAAAAGCACAGGGCAAAGGTGGAGCGGTGCACGGAGCAGTCGCTCTTCAATGCCTGCATTGGCTTGCATCTGGAGTGCCATCTAAAGGCAAAAGGGGACAGCATCTATCACCTTGTCACAGGAGCAGTTCAGCACAACTGCAGACCCTGAGCTAAAGGCAGCGGGACTGGAGAGAAAGGGACAGAGGAGCTGTCTGCCTGGCACTGAATCCTTTCTGTGCGGCCTGTCAGATTTACTCACCAGTCTCCAAGGGCTGTCACCATATCAGCTAATGCAAGTTCAGACCTGGGGAATACTATTCAGATTACTGTGACATCCTCTGTGAGCCACGAGTGCCCCAGGAAAGGTGGCAATAACTCCAGTCCTCAGGAAGCAGCCTTGCACGCTTGCAGCTGCTGTATTTCTGCCCCTCAGTTCAGCCTTAAAATTCAGATGTTTAACCTGTATAGGAGGAGATCCCCCCCCTTCTCTGGATACCACTGCCCTTTGCTATGGCTCCAAGGAACAAAGGGGTCACCACCTGGAAAAAGTAACAGTTTGTGACAGGGGCCTCTAATCTAATGCAGAAATGGCTCTGAAGGACCCCCTGTCCTCCTCTACTTCTGGAATGGGTATTCCAGGAGGATGCAGTGGGCCAGGGAGAAGAGAAAGGGTAACAGGAGGCCGTTCCAGCAGGATGATCTCCAAAAAAACCACACCAGGTATTACAATACAATATCTTTCTTCTGTCTGTGGACAAGGCACCAAGTGTGGTACCCCTGAAGGGCAGGAGGAGCCTGCTGGAGCTCGCCACGTGCTGGCCTGTGCTGGCCAAGCACCAAGACGTGCTGCCGCGGCCTGCGCAGCAGAAATGGCTCTGAAGGACCCCCTGTCCTCCTCTACTTCTGGAATGGGTATTCCAGGAGGATGCAGTGGGCCAGGGAGAAGAGAAAGGGTAACAGGAGGACGTCCAGCAGGATGATCTCCAAAAAAACCACACCAGGTATTAAAATACAAGATCTTTCTTCTGTCTGTGGACAAGGCACCAAGTGTGGTACCCCTGAAGGGCAGGAGGAGCCTGCTGGAGCTCGCCACGTGCTGGCCTGTGCTGGCCAAGCACCAAGACGTGCTGCCGCGGCCTGCGCAACCATAACTCCTCGCCGAGCCCAGGGAAGTCTCACACTTTCAGCCTTAACAGGCGTCCTCTCTGCAGAGGTACTTCGGAACAATATTAAGAAGATATCTGTGTAATTAAATGGCCTTTTTTCCAGTGTCAAAATGCTTTCTGCACTGCACCGAGATGCGCGCCGAGGCTTCTTGGACGGCGAGGCAACCCGAGCAGCCTTTCAGCATTCAGCCCGCGCGGCGCGAGCTCGACTCGCACGCGGAGCGCTCAGCCCCAGCACAAAAGGGCAGCACTTGGCTTGGCTGAAGCACTGAAACGCAGCCCAGCTTCTATAACCCCCCTCTGCTGCCCCTCAGCTGACAGAAGATCAATTAGTCAGGAAGTCAAGGAGGGAACACTCGCCATTTGAACCGTCTTTGGCTAATCACATTAAAACGGAGGGCAGAAGCCATTCCTTACCACAAACACCTTCTCCAGTACGCTCAGGATCACGATATAGTATGGTGGTAAGTCAGTCAGGCTCTCTTTCCAAAGGGGGAGAAAAAAAAAAGCTTGTTCAGCCATCAAAACAACTGTAGTCAGTGCGGAGATAGGCACTGCCACAGGGAAATTCCTCTCTCTACTGCAGGCACCAGCCTCCAAATTGCCCCAGCTCCTTTTTCCTCCAGCAACTACTCAGGCAGTGATAGAAGAAGATGCCTAACTCCTAGAGGATATTAATTCCAGACAGCATATGTTTAAAACTGTAGTGTGTCATATGGCAGAATCATGCACTGAGGAACATGGAGCCTTTTTTTTTTTTTTCTTTTTTCTATGGATGAACATAAAGCTAGAAACATTTTGAACTGTCATCAGCTGCTAGATCAAAGGGTCTGACAACACTTCAAGGCTTATTTTGCAGCCTTCTAAAAAACTTAGTTTGAACATTGCAGGAGATAATGAGCTGAAATAGCACTGCTAACGCAGGAACGTGTCATAGCTCATCCTGCTCGCGGACAAATCTGCCACTGGCTCCCTAAGAGATGTGCTCTGCGATGAATCTCAAAGAAAAAGCGCTCCTGAACAACGGGTTGGCTTCTTCATCCTTATGAGCATGGTGGGAAAAAAGAAAAAAGCAGCCCCATTCCAGCTTGAACAAGTGAACCCACTCAGGGATGTTTTAAGACTTGTGACGCACACAGGCAGATAACAAAATTGAAGAGGGTATTCTGCCCTGTTTCAGAACAAAAACTGCCTTCTAAGGAACAGCAGAAAGAGCAGGCACGGAGCAGAGATACCCCTCTGATCAGATGGGAACATGCTGCCACCTGTGGAGGAAAGCAAGTAAAGCGGCCTTGCATCAGTGTCCCTATCACTAGCACTGCAGATTTAAACACTTGTCTCCATCAGGAGCTGGAGCCACAGGGCTTAAACGTGTTGTTTGGGGTTTAATTTAACCTTTTACCCCACTTCCATAGCCATGGCCTGCACTGCCTACTCCTACAAACAGATCTGGCACAGATACACTGAAATTTAACATAGTGCACGGGCAACCCTAGATTCATAATGGTTATTGGTTAAAGACTTAACAGATTTTTCTTGCTAACCCTATTAATAAAATGGGCTTTTGACCAAATTTCACAGTTATTAGTTAGCAAACACATGCTCAGAATCTGGAGTCCAGCACCCCCAGTTCTGGGCAGCAACATCACTCCCCACATCCCCACTTTCCTGAGTTGCAAACCAGCCCTTCTCAGTTATTTTCCTCGCATCTCTTTCCTGTTTGCTTGCTCCTACTGCTTTCATCTCCTGTTCCTCACCAAATTTACTAGTAAAAGGAATATGATCGATAAATAAACTGGAAAAGAGCAGCATATCCTCACTCAGAAGGCACTACCATGCTCCTGGCTACCACTCCAGTGATTTTCAGTCTTTTCTGTACTGCTTAGCTTTAAAAGAAAACTCGGACTCCTTGTGCCATGTACGGAACAGAGATGATACTACCCCTGCACTCACCCAGTAGTCTTGTTAGACTCATGCTAATAGCAAGCCTTTGCTAAGAATATAGAATACACCTAATATTACCAAATTAAAACACTGCTATCCATAAAGACTGCTTAACACAGATAAGAGGGACCCAAATCAATTATCATGGGAACACCTACCTTCATCCACAGTAAACTGACAGCTCTTGTCGTTGTAGAAAAGAATTTTCTTCTTATCAGGGCGGTTAACAAAGATGATCTGGTCCCCTAAAGCCTCCATAAAACATGTAAAAGAAGAGCTCAAAATCATTTTCTGCATATTCTACTATAGATAAATGTATTGATGTAAAGAAAATGAAACAGAAAGATTGATAAGCATTTCAAAAGGAAAATGAAATTGCCTGGAACTATGAAGAGGTGGCTGTGTTTAATAAAGGTTGCAAACACCAAGAAGGAACAGCTCATATCTTCCTATCTGCAAGCTCTACTGTTACACCATACTTAAAACAGGTAATTAAATCAGATCAGCAGAGGATATAAAGGATTCCAACTTCACCTAGAGAAGCAGCAATACAACCTGCACTTAAATGCTTCCAAAAGGCATAAGGATGATAAATATACTAACAAAACAGAGATGAGGTACAAGGCATTGAGATCAATGTATAAGAGCACAACTAAATGCCCGAAGTTGGAATATATGAAAAGTGTTTTGTGAGAAGAAGCATTGCCAGTTTGGTAAGAAATCAGGACAAATCTGAAAACACAGGATGAAGTAAGGAAAATGCTACAATATTAGACCCTCGGAAATACAATTTCACTGAGGTGTGAGCAAGTGTTACCCACCTTTATGGCTTTCTGTGCATTGGGAAGCCCTTCCTCAATATCTTCCAGGAGGATTCCTCCCAGCCCTCGCTGGTCATGCTTGTCCAATAGCCTGAGCAGAGCCTTTTTGTCTTTCAAGTTGTATTTGGGTTTGAAAGCATACTTTCCATCTACAACTTCTATTTTTGGATTGTTGACTAAAGCCTGTAACAGGAATGTAAATTTTAGACCTCGAAAAAAGAGAACATGTTGGTTCTGGCAATGACAGCTACATGTTGCAGGTGTCAGTTTAGAGGTTTGACTTTGAACTAGATTTTAAACCCAGAACCTTAGATGAGACATAATTCCCCACAGAATAAAGCCCAAAGCAGCAAAGGAGGTTCAGCACCATTCACTTAATGCCTTTGGCTAGAAGGTCCACAAAGACTCTTGCCCTACGGCAGAAAGCTGCATATGCTCCCCTTGGAGAAAGGGGTGAGAGAAAAAAAAAAAAAAACAGGGAATGCAAAATAGCAGCCTTTGGTTGAATATCAAGTGCAAATCACCAACCTAACAAATTCCGGTAATAGCAATAAATAATTTCGCTTCACACCAAATTTATTCATTGTGTAACAATTCTGGTTGAGCCTTTAAAAAGTCAGAGTAGTTTTCATTTTAGACAGACAGACATGTAAATCAAGCAGCTTCTTAAAGCAGAACCTTTCATAGAGTTTGTAATTAAACATAAACAAATATTCTGGCTCATCGCATTTCCTTGATCTCTATTTAAAATGAGCAAACAAACGTGTTTACCTCGCTCATTAACCATTGTTTCTGCTTCAGCCCAATATCTAAATGCTGCGTTTCATCCAAAATTTCTTCTAGGGTTAATGGATGTGTATCACCACGCTGGTGTCGAGTCTGGAAGAAGAAACAGGATCTCAGTGATCTCCATTTACTCCTTTGGGGACTAAACTATCATGAAATAGCTACAATTGGTATAATTTAATGACAAAATAACTTTTACTAAACCAGGAGAGCTACAATATGCATATGTAAATAGGAATAATATATGAATAAATATGAATAACTACTTAGGGGCTTTAAGAATAAGGAAAAATATTCGTTTAGTACAAGGTGCGATTGAAGACTAAGTCATGTGTAAATCACTAAATTATAAGTTATTCCGATACACAGCTCATGAATACTAAACACTGACAGATTCTCCCAGTTGTTGTTTTTACTACAGGTAAAAAGCACCCTCCTGGTTTTAAACTGACCAATAATCTTTGGGATTTCATAATGAAATTGTATGCTGGCCATTTTGTTTGCTGACATACTGTATTTAACAAAGTCTTTTAAATTCTTGCATGCCTGCAGAGTCCAAGATATTTGGTATCTTCTATACTACAAAAGAAATAATTAAAATGTTTCAAAACGTTACCTTTGTCAATCAAAGCACCATACCTTCATATAATTAACTATTTTAGCAAGGACTCCAAACTTGTAGCCTGAGCCTCCTGAAAGGGCTTTCAAGTTAAATGACCCATTGCTGTGATCTACAAGGGGAGAAAATAGACAAATAAACGATGTTTTCAACAACACCTTGTTGTCTCTATACTCTGCCCCTTTTATTCTCTTCTTCCACGACCTTTCAGAACTATGAACAGAAATGGTTACTCTCAGAGGACTCCTTGTTAACAAACAAGTCGACCCAGATACTGGACAACCAACAGGCCATCTCTTATTTTCATCATGGGAGGTTTTCTTTAATTGTCTGGCAATTTCTACTCAAACTGGACAGCACAGTAAATATCACATCGGTAGATGCCACACAGTAGATATCTGCTATTTCTGTGGAGAAAAAAAAATGGTGAAGAGATAAGAAACAGCAATTAAATGTAAACCCTTAACTAAAGGAGAGGCTGCAAAAGGTGCTAAGCCAAGGTCTTCAAGGAGAAGAAAAGGGGCTTGAAAACTTGTGGGGGAGGAAAGGAACTTCTGGTAGGTATCAGCACTAGCAGCTAGAACAGGATGGCAAGTGTAACACTCACCTGCATTGCCTCCCCGGCCTGAAGAGCTCTAACATTTCTGCCAAAAGAAAGGGGAAGTCCTCCTGCTCCTTTGTCAATGCAAGAGCTACTATAGAAACCCTATGGGAAAGCAGACACTAAAATTTTCAAACTCAGCTTGCAAAACTGGGAAGCACAAGTTGATTCTTAACAATTGCACAGGAATAGATATTTCAGGCCAGATGTATCAAAGGAGAAGCTTGCAAGAGCCAGCAGCCGCGTGGAAACTCCCAACCCTTTTGGGGCATCTTAGAGCTCCTATGTTGTGAAGAGAAAGTGCTGATGCTTTGGGGTCTTCCCAAGCAGCAGATGTGGAGAAAGGGTGTTATATTCAGATGGTTTAGATGCAGATATCCTTGCAAAAGTCTTTAGAGGAAATTGCCAATTATATTTTCCAAGCCAATATGCTTTACCTGAACGTTGTTAATGCCTCTTGCACCACCTCTTAATATACTACTAACTTTATCTGCAAGCCTATATAAAAAGGTAATGATCAAGCAGTGGAAATTGTGCATCTAGCCAAATTTAGAACAAATCTACTTTTGAAAGCTATTATAAAGACTTGCATGGAAACGGGTGCTAGTGCAGCAGTATGTAACGAGGAAGGAACAACCGTCAAATATAAAACTCAGCAGCAGATAATTTTAAAGATAATCCATGACACCTTTGAGATTTTCCATAGCGCAAATATTCCAAAGTTAACAGAGGAGAATGAACATACCTTCAGCTTCATAAGAAGATTTTTTTTTCTGGTTAAAAACTTAAGGTATAAAATAGGAGAAACACAAACACACCTCCCTCTAAAAATGTAGCCCATATGGATTGCCCCTGACCAGATTCTTTTTTAACATAAAGCATTTATTTCTATGAAGCGAATTTTATAAATGAAGTGACATGTGCAGTAGAAGATCTAAAAATGACCAAATAAAAACAGCATTACAACAAATAGTATTTATGTGCAAATGATGTATTTGCTTTGTCGACTGCCTCAAGAAGATTATCTTGCCTAATCGGCCTGGCTACAACGTGCTGTAGTTCATGACAGGTAAATCTGGCCACGCTGCAACGCTGGGATCTGCAGGTATCAAACGCCACGGCCCGACCAGCCCTTCTCCTGTGCAAAGGAAAGGAGGTCATGGCCGCTGCCACGCTCCTAAGGCTCCTATTCTCAGCTAAAACTCCCTGCAAAAAACAAGCAGCACGTTGAAAAATAGGAAGTGGGAAGCGCTGGCTTCTAATTTTCTGATTTTTACTCCAGCGGCCGCGGGCTTGATGCAAATGAGCAGAAAGGAAGTTGTCAGCAGCCTCGCGCTCCGGCCAATAGTGGGAAAGCTCCATCTTAGCCGAGCCGGAGCCTGCGCTGGAAAGAGGGGCCACGACCAGCGCTCCCTCAGCATCCTTTCAACAAGAGGTAGGTGCGTATCGTTTTCTAACGTCGTCTTTGGTCGATCTTGATTACTGAAATAAAACATGCCTATAACGTGTAAGCCTGTAAAAAGCTCCTTAGAATCAGGGCGGGTGTGGGGGTTTCTTTTTTTTTTCCCCTTCCTCTGGATTTAGCAGGATTTTGTGCTGCTCAACACAGAGGAGCTTGTCTTGCACTCCCAGACAAGCACTTTCACCATCTGTGCACTGATGGAAAAGCGATGACCCCTCCATCTTATGTGAGAAGCTGACACACGAGCCAACATGCAGTAAACAAAATGGATTTAAGGCTTACTAGCAAGGCAGCTGTTTTCCCTATAGCCTCACAATTCTTGTCATTTATTCTACGTTCTTTTAAGGTAGAGATAATAGAAGCATTTTTCAAAAGAAAAGAAAAAAGGGAGGGGGAGGGTGAAGAAAGCACTTGAAATTTAAGAATTATATCTCTATCTTTTTAAATCTCATCTGCTATATTACCTACAAGAAATGTATGCTTGTGGAATGGAAAAAATCCTTATTACATATTATCATTGTGAATGTTACAGCGCTGATCAATCCAACATTAACAGGTTAGAAATCATCTGGGTTGTGTAAATGCTGTTGCCCCAGCATGTCCATTCAATCATTTTTTATATAGGATTTCCTCAGTATTGCATCAAAATGAGTTTTTTGCTAGTCATTTCCCCCTGCTCCAAGAATATAATCTCAAATAAACCTGCTTTGCTGCGGCATCCGAAGAATAAGATGCTTTTAATTTAAAGCCTACTCTGGAAATTACAGAATCCAGTTCATGAAGTGTTTAGCTTACTGTATTTTGGACACGTAGAACAGCAGAAATGCATAAGTCTGCCTGGCTCACAATATGTATTTCAATTATGCCATTATATAATTGGTAAAACGGCATGAAACGAGACTCCCTTTGTCAGCTTTCAAAGATGCTGACCTCCTGCGTGGCAGAGAAGGCTCAGAAATGGCTGCTTCAGCCTTGTACTTTAAAAATTCAGTTAGGGAGCTGATATTTCTCCGTGCGCCTTGACCAAATCTAAGGAGATTTGATCATCTTTAAGCAGCACTGAATCACCTCCAGCCTGGGCACTAAAAACAGCCTCTTGGTGTAAAATAAGCAGCTCTTCCCCGTGCACATCCCTGACCTGATAACCGTGGCTGTGCCCGCTGTGGCAAGGGGAGGTCGCCACACTACGTGGAGCCGCAGGGTCTCCTCCGGCCCGGGCAGCCCCTGCCTGCTCTCGAGGCCAGAATTAACATCTTTGGGAACGCACAACCAGGAAAGTCTGGGATACGCGGCGTGAACAGGTCTGGCCTCCCGCTTTGTCCCAAATCTCCCTTTCTTCTCCAGTCTAAAACACTTTTTAGCAATGTGCATCAAAAGTATTCTTTCCGACGTGTTTACAAAGCAAGCAAAATTCACAAGCCCCAAACGATCTCACTTTTGTAGTACTTTTAAGGTGGATTTGTTCTGTAAGCGCTTATTTAAAGAACGACAGATGAATTTCTCCTACTCTTCTCATTCCCATTTCTCATACTCAATTCCTTTATCTTGAAGCACAGACTTAACAAAGGAAAAAAATACGTTAGTGCACCTCTTCCAGAGAATGTCTGTAGCACAAATCCTACCCTGGTTTCTCTTCTCACCAACAGGGCCAAATCCATTTCAATTTCAATACATTAAAGATGGAATGACAGACAAAATGCACAGTATTTGAACAATAAGTATGAGACCTATATCAACAGCTGGTTTGGCTGCATCGTCCTGCTTCCACACTCTACCTTAATAACAACACAATTTAAAAAAATGCTTAAGTAATCTGTATAAGTAGACACCATTGTGCTTCTCCTTTGTCACTTCTCATTTGTTTAGGCATTTTATGTTTTTTACCTCCTAAACATGTTAAGCAGAATTATTTCTGTAATGTACAAGGTTCCTCGTATTACCCGAGAGTTTGTTTAGTAAACGAGACATCAGTGTACCCCTTTGCTCTGTAGTCCTAACTACTGCAATAGCTGGTCAAAATCAAGTTGCATAAAGGTAGTCAAGAAGGGTTTCTAATGAAAATAAACAAACAAAAATTTTAATAAATACTTTCAGTTCTTGCTTTATATACAAAGCAGAAGTCTCTCCAGGCAGACATGGAACTAAGAGTTCAGTTGCCCATAGTGACCATCTTGTGCCCCTTGCATCTGCTCTTCCCCAAATGCCACATTTTCTAGGGTGCCTGAGCAGACAAAAGCACTTTCTGCAGTTTGCCTGGTAGCTCTTGGACTCCACAAGGCGGGTGGACCAGCCAGCCAAGTGCTTCTCACTGCTACGTGTCACCTAAAAGCTCCATACGTTCCCCTCACAGCGACCTGCATCCACCTCCTTCACGCACATGCAGCTTTCAACCGCTGCGTGTACCCAGTGCCACCCAGGCAGCTAAAAGGAGCAGCTGGATTTCTTGAGCAAAGGCCTCTGCTCAACAGCAGCAACAGCAGAGGATTAAACACTTTGGGAAATCTGGCTCTCACATCAAAAAATCTGCCATGTTAACTAACCTGTGCTAATAGGAAAATCTAAAATAGTAAGGCCTTGGAGACCAGGACTATTCCTTTCTACTAGAACAGCAAATGAAAAGTTCATGCCCATTCTTTGGAAATATCCTGCAAGATATTTTTAATTAAAAACAAACAAAACAACAGCAAAAACAAAACAGTATCTTCAGTGCATTAAAATTAAATCAAATTCATCTTCTGTATGAACTTTTTTCTTTCTTTTAGTCCCAGTCTGGAAGAATTTAATCTCCATGAGTGGCCACACCAACAAATAGGTTGTTGACTACATACATGATTGCTCAGGGAACCGCCAAACCAAAACTTGCAAGTCTGACTTGTCTGGAGTGTTTGTTTCAGCGTCAGTGTGGGCATTGAAACAGTTCTCAACAGCTTTGCTTTCTTTTTCAGCCCTCAAATCCGTGGCGCCAAACACAGTAAGACAACCCTGCAGGAATGGCAACCTTCAACAGCACTCACTGGAACGAGACTACATCCATTTACCAATACCTGGGCTTCCAAGTGCAAAAGATTTACCCTTTCCATGATAACTGGAACACAGCCTGCTTCATTATTTTGATTATATTTATCTTTACTGTGGTTTCCCTGGTGGTGCTGGCTTTCCTCTATGAGCTGCTAGACTGTTGCTGCTGTGTGAAAAATAAAACTGTGAAAGACCTGGAGAATGAACCCAATCCTGTCAGAGCAATGATGGAGAGCTTCAGAAAGCGCGAGACAGAAGTGGTGTAGGAAGGACTGACCAACACCTCTTGAACATTTGACACCTCTAATGAAGCCTCTTGAATCTTATAAATGAGCAGTCATGTGCTTTTCTTTTTTTATCCTTAAATATAATTAATAGCAAAAGCCACCATTTAATTTCTGGATGTGAACTTGAATACTTAGCAAAGGCTTTTTGAGTACAAAAGGATGATGTGTTCCAGTGTCATGGGGAAAGAAAACATTTTTTTTAAATGAACTTTTGTTGTTTACATTAAGTTACTAGATTGGCTTACCTGAACCAACAAATTTTGCTGCGAGTGCCTAAAATTTGTTTAATTGGAGAAAGTGTTTTACAAAATTGCTTATCAATGTAACAATACATAGAGCAAAGACACAGCCCTGTTCTCCCACTGAGGTCAATACTACAGAGACAAGATAGATACGTAAAGAGAGAAGTAAAAAAAGTTGTAAGATAGGAGGGTTTGACAGCAAGACATAGAAGAGACTTGAAGGAATTCTCATCTTCAGTAGCTCTTATTCCAGTGTCTTGGCTTTTGGAAAAAAGTGGGCGATAAGTAAGCCAATGTGAAGCCCATCCCCAAAATGTTAGTCTATTCCCATGTCCTCCACTAAAACATGACCCCTTCTCCCTGTGGTCTGAAGAACCGCTTTCCACTGACTTCACATTCAACCTGTTTACCAGTTTCTGGGTGTTAAAAACAGTGACACGTGAATTTAATGCTACCTCTTACTTGCACAGGAGCATACAGACCCAAGAGCATGATCTAGAGAAACCTGAAGCATCTTTCGGCCTCAAGGCCTCTATGGTGTCTTTGGGTCCAGAATCATCTTCTCTTATGCTTTACAAGTTACCTGGCCATTGCTCCTCACTTCAGGAAGTTACACAGGCTGGATATATCTTGCTTATTCAACAACAGAATCTCAGCGTACTCCTACAACCTGCAAACGTGTCCCAGAGTTCACACACAATTAAGAAAGGGACTGTGCTGTGCTTGAACCATCATTTTTTTTCACCTCTACTTCAGCAGATTAGTTTTAAAAGCAAGAGATGAGGCAAAGTAACAGAAGAAAAATAGTTTTGCAGTTACAAATAACCACCAAAATACAATGGCACAGCTGTCCAACCACTGGCCATCCGTGCTGACCAATAAGTTGCACATGTTCCTGGTTACACAGAGGAACAGACTAGCCAGAAACATCCTGAACAGACCAGAATGGTTTGTAAGATAAAGAATTTAATGGTATATTAAAAAAATATATAAAATATATATTCCTGCCATTAGGGAAACGAAACTGTTTAGTGGCCAAACAGAAGTAGCTATAACACTTCTGAACAAAGCACTGTACCTTGTGATATACTTGTGATCTTCAGTCACTCCACAGCAAAACTAGGGAATATCCTCCTAATTTTCATTTCTTCTCAAGGGGCAGGGGGGAAACAGTAAAAATTGCTGTTTTGAAGCAAGACCAAGACCCATCTACGCTATAGCATATGCTTACATGTGCCTAGCAATCTGGTGATTCAAAGAAAAAGCAGATTTTGAGCCACATTCAACTTTGACTTGGGCAAAGAAGGGAACTGAGAATCCAAAGTTTGAAATCAGTTTTAAACACACAACTCTGGCAATTATTCAGGACCTCTATCCACGCTCAGAATGAGTAAAACTACCACCAGCAATAAAGTCACCCTATAATGCCTCACAATTAAATCTCAACTTCCTTTCTGAAACAATTCCTAAGAAGTTCAGTTCACTCATTCTGTTCTTTTTCTTGCATCCTTGCTGCTTCCATACCAATCAGCATATGCTCTTCAAGGAAACCCAAAAGGAGAAAACCCAAAGGGGACAACATTCATTCCACACAAAGTATTATATAAAACCTTGAAACCTTTCTGAAATTATCTGAAATGAAACCAGCAGCCTAAAAAAAAATAAAGCTTGTTTCCTCACAGCCCCACGATCTTATTTGTGTTAAGCTAATTATTTTACTACTGCAAAAGCACTCACACACACAGCCCACAAAACCACAGAAATTTTATTTATCTACCCTACTGATTGGCCACATATCTACTCAAGTTCCTTACTCAGAGTTGCACGTAAGCTGCCTGCCCTTTTCCTGCCTCCCTCTTTGCCTGATTAGGTTACTCCATAAATGATTTTGTTCTACTTGATAGCACTGGGGCAAAGCAGCTGAGGGAAACCTGGCCTTCCTGGTGGGGCACTGTCCAGGTTGCAAAACAAAGCATACAGTGGTTGTGGAAAAGTATATTTATTTATTTTCAAGTGCCTGGCTCGAAACATCATTTGGTGGCCTAAGAGGAAGGTGCACGATCTCCTTACTCTTTCTTCAGCAGTGGCAAAGCTGCTTCTCTCTCCCATTGTCCTTGATGTTCTTCCCTGTGTCTCTTGTTTCCTTTCTGAGTTTAGCAGAGCAGTATGCAGTATCCAAGAGCTTGCAATGGACATACACTCAGAAGCATGTTTTCTGTTTTAGTAATTCCTGACTTTATATCTTTTAGAGTGCATCAGAAAAGTCTGTATTTTCAGAAAACTGTTCACAAAACCTCCAAGTGATCTCCGTGCATGCTGTATGTACGCAAGTCTTTTTTTCCTACTGCTCCAAGCACTGCACTTCTCATTCACTCAACGCTATTTCAGTTTTGTTTTGTAGTGTAGTGTAGTATTAGTCATGTATTTAACACTGAGACATTTGTTGTCAGCATCACCATCCTAGGGAAACCATCAAACTCCTAACTGAGGCAGACAGAAACCTGCAGAAGTCCAAGCATTTGTGAATGTAGGCTTATTCTCAGATAAAACAAGAATAACTACTAATCACAGTATGTTGAGGAGGACAAAATTAAAGAATCTATCTTGTGCCAGTCTAGGACTTTCAGCCTATAGAAATAAGTTTTAACTCTCTCTTGCCAAAGTGGGAGGGGGGGTAGCTATTACTACTTTTCTTATGTGATCTAGTTATTTACTGATATTCGCAAACCGAAGCCCAGTGTAATTTAAAGTAACGTTTTGGCAGCAACCCTTCTTCCAGCTCACTAACAGCATGCAAGCCACACAACAAGGCCCGGCCTATATATGTACAAAGAAAAAAAAAAAAAGAAAAAAAAAAAAAGAAACATGTCATGCAAATGAATTTCTTACTGGGAAGTGAGAATTCAAGAACAAGAACCATCACAGGAATTGACAAACTGATTCACACTAGTGAGTTAGAGCTCAGAGACAGGCAACAGAAGATATAAAACACCTGCAGGCAGGACATTTGCACCAACCTGTAGCTTGTTTTGAGCCTGATGAGCCACTTTGCTCTACCTTTGTTTTCTTCTTCTTGGAAGATGAGTCTGAAGATGGCGCTGGCCGTTTTTCTACAGCTGGTGTGGAGAGGGCACGCTTCTTGAATAGCTCACGCTCTCGCAGTAAGCTTGGATCCATAATTCTGTTAAAAGAAGTAAACCATAGATAAAGTCCACAAAACAGTCAGAAGGTATAGGCACCTGATTATAAAGTTCTTTGCTTTTAGGCTTTTTCCTTCTATTTCCCTTTGCCAACTCTATGAAACCGACATTTATGGGGATCAAAGTGCCAAACCACTAGCGTCTTTTCAAACAAGACTCTGAAAACAAGCAACACGCTTTTCCGAAGTGGGACTCAACTTCGTGCCCGTCGCTTTACACCGAACTTCCGTTTTATTTTTATTTTCTCTTGCCAACCCTGCCCGAGAGCTCTACGACAGTATCGCGGTGCTTTAAAGTTACTGCGGGGGTTGGGGAAGAGAGAGACACTGGCGGGGGCCAGGCCGGTTGGACGGGACAAGGGTTAGGTCCCCC